GAATTAGCAACAGTGAGTTTTTTCAACTCTTAGAATTCCATTATGGTTCGTCCTCTAAGGAGACCAAGTCGAGTGCTAACCTTACATATTAACTTTTCTTCGTGAAGCTTAATGGCGTGATGAAAACTGAATACCGCATCGCACTAAGATCTGCCTTGCGTGGTGATTTTGCTGAAGGCGTCAGAGCAGTTTTGATTGACAAAGATCAGGTTTGTTCATCGCCACTCAAATTTCCAATGTTAATTTATCATTCCTCGCGTGCTTAGTTTCATCTATTGTGACCGGACATTATGAGTTGACATCTGTATCGACCAATGCTGTTTTAGAACCAAAGTTTTGTTGGTACCAAACTCTCTAGCTCAACGCTAATGAAACTGATCTGTTCCGACAAAAACCTTGTGCAGAACCCAAAATGGAACCCAGCAAGCATTGAAGAGGTAGACGAAAATGAGGTGGAAGCTCTGTTTAAACCATTAAGTCAAGAAGTGGAAGAGTTAAAAGTCTGATTCTCATTTTGCTTTCTCTGTTTAAGATCTGTCCACAACGTATTCAATGAATAAACAAATCTTTAGCCATGTGTTGAAGAAACTTGGGACCCTTCTTTTCACCTAAATAAATTATGTTCAAACAGTTGTAGATTATCTAAAAACATGAGCCATTGTATTACAAAAGAAGACATTGAAGACAAAAATAGCAAAAGATGAAATCAAGAAGAAGAAGCAGAGTTGTCGTAAGTAGATCCGACGTGATGGATAACGAATCCGTAGATTTTGCGTTTTAGTCGCTCGATCTTGTCCATTGTTGTGATCTGGTTTTCTTGGTTCGACGAGACCCGGTCCAGCCACTCGTTAACTTGTTTCAGCTGAGACAGAACTGCAGCTATGGAACTACCGTCTAAAGATCGTTTTGCTGCGTTTTTGTTGTCTAATGATTCTTCCACGAACCCAATGAACCACATTTGCATTTCGGATTGTAGGTTCACTGCGAATTTAGCTGTTTCCTTCAATCCATCTATGTCTGTCCACATCCCAACAATATTGTCTGAAACAACCACAAAGAAGAAACTTACAATTCTGCATTTGGTTATGAATGTTGATTGAAATGAAAATATGTTTCAATTTGAAGAACGAACCTGTCTTGCTAGAGGGTCTAGGAGAGAGACGAGTAGGCATTGATTTCTTCAGAGACGATGGCGATTCCTGGCTTTTCACTAGTGAGACCACGTCGAGGTTAGTAGCTAATGCAGCTTCAACCCAAAGAGCGATTGGGTTTTGTTGATCAGATGACGAGCTGAAACTGTTTTCTGAGGCTATCTTACTGTATTTCATGACATCTTCATAGATTGTTAAAAACTCGTTGATGATTCGCAACGGATTCCCCACCTTGGAAGCCGAAGAAAGTTCCGAGAATTTACTGAAACATTCAACCAGATGAAAAAGCTTAACAACACTGATTGCCAAAGTTTTAAATTTTGTTTGAGATGATATAAGAGTTTTACCTTAAACATCTTATGATGCACTCATTAGCATTGGCTTCCTCCAATGCTCGAGCTGCGGCTCTAGCAGCAAAGTCTCTTCTTTGCATAGCCTCCTGCATAATTCAAAATCATGATCACTCGAGTTTCTTTAGTCAATCAAATGTATCTTAAACACGAAACACTGCTTCGTACCTTTCCAAGTTTTGCAAGTTCATCAGAGATGCTATCAAATGGAACACTACCATCAGTCCATTTCCGTTCATGATAAGTGATACCAAGGCCTTCAACAACTGAGACTTCTTCTAGTAAACTACTCTCTGATGAACACGACTTCGCTTTCTCTTCACACGCTGAAGAATCACTCTTTCGCCTATTCGCATCACTGAGTCGCCTCGTCATAGCAGCCTACAACAATTGTACATCATCAATTCCAATCCATCAAACAGAACAAGTCAAACCTCACAACAAACAACTCATACTTCATTCGCCAAAACACTAATACTGTAAAATCTGAGTTTTATTGTTACCTGAGTACGCAAAATTGCTTGATGATCAGGCTTATTCTTAACACTACTCTTCTCCTTATGCTCAACATGAACATTTCCATCAGCTCCTAATGGTTCATCCCAATTCTTTCGATTCCCATTCTTAGCAGACGAACCGACTAAAGCTTCCGAAACTTTGGAAATTCCGGCTGCAATCGCCGCCATCTTCTTCTTCCCTGAAGAATCTACAACCATAGGAGACATCTTCACACCACTAGAAAGCCTTCTTCCCGGTGAAATCGACATCCTTCTTCCACTAGGAGAAGGATTCATCTTCCTTCCATTAGGTGATGGTTGTCTATACCTTGACGGCACAACAATCGACGGCTCTCTAGCAAGCTTCCTATTCTCCTCACGCGCCGCCGCAAGACTCGGCACAACACATTTCGAAGGAACCGGAGACGCAGATCTCTTCCCTTTCCCAGAAACCGCCGGTGATGGATCTCTCTCCACCGTCACTGCACCGGAACTATTCTTCTTCCCCGATGAGACTGACCGTTTAGACGATGCTGGTGACGAGAATCTCTGTGGCGTCTTCTGTTTAGGTTTCTGATTTCGAATTTGGTTACGATTCTCTTCGTTTTGATTCACCGGAGCAAGCGCTTGTCTCAAATTAGGTATCGTAACATCACCGTCGCCGTCGTCGTCAATTCTTCTATTGTTCAAGTAAACAGCAATAGGATCTAACGAGTACTCAGAGTCAGAAACTGGCTGAATAACGAAATCACGTTTAGATCCAGGCGATACTCTTGCAATCAACGGCTCTGGAGTTCCGACGAAGGCATGACGACCAGCGACGGGACGAATTCCGGCGGCGCGTGGGACTGGAGTAGCGAATTCTAAGCGTTCTAGGTATATGAATTGACCTAGTTGAAGACGGTTAGTGAGGATGAGATCTGTGTCGCGTTCGGAGAGAGAGACGTAAGTGGAGTTGAGAGAATCGGAGATTTGGACGTAGAAGCCTTGGTTTGGCCATAGATCGGAGCCGGCGAGAGCTGGGACGATTCCGGTGACTTGTAAGATTGCGGATCTGTGGTCTCCGGTGGGACGTGTGCCGGAGTTCATACATTGAAGAAGTTTTAGGAGGATTCCGGGTGCGAGTGACGCCATTTTTGTGTGAGGTTTGTGAGTTTGAGAATACACTGAGAGAAGAAGAAGAAGAATATAGGAGAAGTTATTGAAGCTTTGGCCGTTACAAGATTCAAAATTTGAAATCAAATTTTTTGTATTTCTTTAATTGTTTAACGGTTAAATGTTGAAATGCGATTAAAGAGATTTTCAAATTATGCTCGTTCTTTATCTTATGTGCAATTATGTAGCAGGTCATCAAATTTAAAAAAACAATTAAAAGAAAAATTAACTAAAGCCATAATCCTCAATCTAAAATTATGTTCCTCAATCTAAAATCCTTAGTTTTTCTTATCCAAAACTACGTTTAATCACGATTTTTAAACCATTCTAGTTTCCTCTATCATAAAACTTAGGCCTCCGCAAAATACCCATAATCGAAGAACTTAACTAAACTGATCCAAAAAAGAAGAATCGGACCGAACCCAAAACCGACAAAATACTTGAACGGATCCATGACTAGTTTCGTTTCTCTAACCGAATTTTTTTTTAACTAGTCACTGTACTCAATTCTTCAAATATTGGAGGATTTTATACATAAGTAAACAATAATAAAGAAAAAAGATATTTAAATTTTGCGCAAACGATCATTTTCTTTCTATTGATCATTTTCTTATATAATATGAATGAAATAAAAAAATACACCAACAATGTTGTTTTTTGTAAAAGGATAATTAACTTGTAAACTTGTCGAAATATCCTTTTCAACCAAGAAATCTCTTATGTGTTTTTATGTTTCTCCAATTCCTATATATAGTCTTTTTTTTTACTCATATCTTAAATTTTCAAAGATATTATGTGTTAAATGATATGAAAGTAAATATAATAGGAATTTTTTTCTCTTACTTAGGAACACCATTTAAAAGTTAAATTCAATAAGATATATTTTCAAAAATAAGAATTAAATGAAATTTTTTAATATTTAATAGTAATAAAATATTAAAGTATCAAAGTTGTTTATTTCTCTAGATTGTGATTAAATGTTTAGATACAAAAAAATAAAGATAATTCTGTTTTTCTTGACATCTGTATTAAGAAAAAAAATGTGCTAATGTTTTAAGGAAAACATTTTCTATATAAGTTCTATATATTTGTTATTTGATTAACAAATTATGGTTGTATGTCTAAAATTTTCTACTCTTATTTACTATAAAGTGATAGGTTTCTTAAAAGGTTTTATGGTGAGAAGATTCTTAAACAACTAGTAAATATTTTCTTAGATTTAGATCGCGATGGGTTGTTGGTCAAAGCGGCCGAGACGAAATTTTCCTGAAAAGTAGAGTGATTTAATAATATTCTTTTTATATCTATGTAAACTAGATAAGTGTTATATTTTTTCTATGTTCTTACGATGCTATATACATGTTTTCTCTTTTAAAAATTTGTCTAGCAGGTCAATTGAAGTCGAATTGAAGATTCGGATGCATTGTGAAAATTGCGTTAAAGATGTCAAGAAAGCTAGTTCCAAAGTTGAAGGTAAGCATTTATATTATAGTCCACATTTATGATACACTATACTGATCTCATTCATGGTACAAATCTAACTTAAGGCTTCCGCTTTGAATTACGTTTTTGGGTCCTTATATTATTTCGTGTAGTTGATAATTTCAAATTATCATTATGGTTTTATTATCTCAAGTTTTAAATTATAGTAAAAAAATCATGCCTTTGCTTAATTTAATTTTTCTTATATTTTATATATTAGTTTTTCAAAAAAACTTTTAGAATGTTTTATAGGTTTTGGTGGAATTGTAGGCAGAAATAAGATATTATGATGAAAAATGATCACATCAACATTTGTAATGTTTTGACCGATCATATATATATTATTGAGGATAATATAATAATTATGTTGTAATAAAATTATTTTAAATGATATTTGATTGTTAGGAGTTGAAGCATGTAGAATAGATATGGATAATCAAAAAGTTATGGTCACTGGTAATTTCAATTTAGAAAAGTTATTGAAAACTCTCAAGAAAAAAACCGGTAAAAAGGCAGAAATCTTAATGATGAATGAGAAAGCTGATATGGTTCAAAAAAAAAATGATGACCATGAAGTTGTTCAGAATGATGATGATGACCATGATGTTGTTCAGAAAGAAAATGATAAACAAAAGACATTTACAGAGAAGAAAGAAGAAGGTGATATAGTCCAACAAAACGACGAGAATCCTGAAGTAGAAGAAAAAATTAATACATCTGAAACAAGGTGGCCCACTTCTAACTAGTTAACAATTTTCATTAAGTATGAAAGTTTCAAAAAAAAAAACCTAATACTTCTTACTTTTTTTTTTGTTATAAGTATACGTTTTTCGGATATTACATGTGTTTTAACTCTTCATTTATTTTTTGTAGTACAACAAAAGTCGAAATAGTTTTAGAGAAGGATGAAGAAATTGAAATGGATAGAGGTGTTTATATGTACCCAAATAGTGATGATGAGAAAAAGATGGCCAAATATATGATGTTTAGTGATGAAAATCCTAATGCATGTTCGATTTCGTAACTGAACATCGTCAAAACTAGTATCCACCATGGAAAACTTGGCATGGTAATGGATTTTATCTATTTGGGGATATTTTGATATTTTCATCACCTTGATATTATATTATTATATAACTAGGATACAACCCGCTGTACTCCGCGGGTATCGGTTTTATTCGGTTTTCCTATTAATTATTTGATAATTTATAATTTATAATTATAACATATGTATTTTTTGGTGGTTGTTAAATTTTCAAATAGGAGAATGTGTTTTAATATGGTGAAACATGTGTATTATTTAATATATTTGTATCAAAATTTAATATAGTTAAAGTATTATAGTTTTGAGGTGTCTAACAGTAATTTTTATCTTCTAGAGAATATTGTGATCTTACATTTTTATTGTTTTGTAAATTCAAAAATTTTGGACCAGGAATTTCGTAGATATTTAAAAGAAGACCTTATAAATTTGAATTATTGTTAAAATTATATGATTTCAGATTTTATTGATATTTCAAATGAAAATAAGCTAATTAGCCTGTGTATATATAACCCGTCAAATAAAATAGATTAAAATTTAAAGTTGTTTCTTTTACAACTTCAAATGTGAAAAGAATAATTCTGTGATAAATTTTCTATTATATTTAACCCTTTAGCATATTGCTAAAAAACATAAATTTTTAAATAGAAAAAAAATCAAAATTAAAGAAAATATTAAAAATTGAAACCCTAACTCCAGTCGGATATCTTCTTTGACTTATCATTCACCCCGCCATTGTTGTCCACTCATAGACCTTATATGAAAAAGAAAAAAAAATTAAAATTGGAATGAGTTTGACATATAAATTGAAGATGACAGAATTCAAATAGATTTAATAAAACAAAATTGAAAAGAAAATGAATGCAAAAAATACGATTATTAAAAGGGTATCAACATCCAAACCTAAGACTTGATGATAATCAAACCTAGTATCTAAAACTAAGCACTGAATAGAAGAATAAAAACAAAAAATCAAAATCATATTCTTTATATCATATTCTAATATAAAGAATATGTATTGAAAGAAAATGAATTATTTCCATTTTTTGAGAAGAGCCGAGAAAACTTTATATTTGCAGTGAAACTTTGAACGATATGAGAATAACACAATCAGAGTACTATATTTATAGTGTTAAGAGAGTCGGCTATAATTTTAGGGTTAATCAAATATAATCTTATCTAATAAATTATCGAATCAAATCTAAAAGATTACAATCTTTTTTGATAAGATCACATTTGGATAGTATTTATAATATATGTACATGTTTATAATATTAAATCGACATTAAAACATAAATGTAGGAAACTATTTAGATTTGTATAGAGATTTCTTAAACTAATTAGATTGATAAGAGTATAAATTTTTATTAATATCTAATCTCGTTTTGAAAAGTTTTTAAATATATTTCCTTATTTTGGGAAAATTTGAAAGTTATAACAAAAATACAAATTGATCTTGAGATATTTATAGATTATAAATATATTAGTATCTACGTATAT